ACAATCTTAACAATACCTAAGGATGTAAACTTATCAAAAGACGGTGAAAATTTGATAGGAATATGTGGATTTGAAAATAATGGTTGGTTTATCACAAACTGATAATTATCTGAGAACATGCGATTAACATTATTTATTCTATCCCATGCTATCAAAACTTCACTATGAAACTTGGGCAGCACAGAAAATTTCTTTTTAGTATGTTTAATAAACAAAAGTTCAAAAGAAAAAGACAAATTATCATATTTGTGGAAAAAATAGAACATAAAATATTTCCAGCAATGCTCAAAATCGGGATTCAAGAACTTTGCCAGCCAGCATAGGCGAAAAGAGTCTCTCCTTGTTTCTATAAGAGGAATATTCAGACCACAATCGTTTCGATGACCAAGTAGGTAGACTTTTTGATTAAAGGGGGTCGATCTCCCCATAAAAAAAACTTTTAATTGTCTGATTAAAGGCTAAAACCGCCCAAGATGGGATACTAATAATTCTAAGGATATACCATAATATCGACAAGCACAGAGTGTTAACTATAAGACTTTTTCCAATAAGAGACAGTCGTCTACCCTTCCACAAATTAATTACTTTCTTAAATTTATCTAGTTTCCCATTCAGAGACTCACATACTGATTGGTTCGGTCCCAAATAAACTCAAAGAATTAAAATACCATCATTTAATATATGTAAAGGTAGATTTTAATCACCAGGAACACACGTAGCAGTACCAGCGTCAAGTACCTGAGATTTCTCAATATTGATCTTCGCTCCAGACAGCTTACAGTATCGATCAATTGACTCAAACGCATGATTTACAGAATCAAGATCACTTAAGTTAGAGTTGCATCATCAGCGTGTTGATAAATGACAGATGTATGTCAGTGTTTGAAGTTACTAAAGCATTTAAAGGTTCCACCGAACGCATGTATAAAAGTGCTGCTATGTCGTACTGATTTTAAGACAGGGAATGACAACGATATGTGTCCATTAACCTTAACACAGCTTTTAATATCCCTGTAAAGCGTTTTGACGGAGTTCGTAAAACGAGCCAAAACCCATAGATTTAACACATTAAAAAGGTAAGAATGTGACACTCTATCAAAAGCTTTCTGGGAATCAATTTTTAACAAGTAAAGAGGAAGCTGTTCAGCATCAACATAATCAATAATATCCCTAATAACACATACATTATAAGATATATCTCGACCAGGGATACAGTATGTCTGATCTGACGAAACTACAGATGATATAACAGATTTTAATCGCAGTGCTAGACATCTAGAAAATATTTTGTAGTCAACATTTAATAAACTGATAGGTCTGTAGTTTTTCAGATCAGACCGGTCACCTTTATTCTTATAAAAGATTGAAATCATACCACTTTTCATACTCGGGGACAGTTCCTCAGAAGACATTATGTCAAGTACAACATTCCTTTTAAAGATTTGAATAGCTCATCTTTCGAAACCTCTGCATCACACGCATTTCGGTCTTCTTCTGACAGACATTCCGAACGCAGGGTTGTAACAATTTTAGGTAATTTTCCAAAGAATCATCAAGCGAGTAAAGCTTAGAATAGAATAGAATAGTTTCATCCAAAATATCAAAAGAATCAGATTTAAGCTTGCCACTCTCTGAAAGAATCTCTCTTATAGAACTGTTCTCTTGTTTTCTCTCCTCAAGATTCAGACAATATTTAGTACACCTCTCTGAATCAAGGACTTCCACAGATTTTGAGCGAAGACTAGCTCCAAAACATTCTCGCTTTTCATATTCAGCCAGTTCCAGTTCCAACTCACAGCAAACACTTATCATAACTCAGTCCACGCGAAGCTCTGTCGTATATATATTTCAGTCGTTTTTGAATTAACTAATATTGTTCTTTTTGCTTCTTCCGAATACATATTGAATATGCAATTGTTTGCTGTTTAATCCTGTATTTAAGGTTGTCCCAAAATATGCGAATTTCACTTTCAAACAGCGGAAACTTTAACGATGATTTGATTAACTCGGTAATGAGGTTTCGATACGCAAGGTCACACAAGAGAGAATTATTTAAGACCCAACTACCAGGTCCACGATCAATGCTCTTAAGATTAATGGAAACAGACACTAAATTGTGATCACTCAGACCTGTGTGATAGATGGTTGAATTCATTAACATATTCTCAAGACTTTCTCAAACAAAAATGTAGTCAATTTGCGATTGCTTTAAATCGCCGAGTACAGTCTGCTGTCTTGTAAAGACGCGCTAAATGGGTTGAAAAAGCGCCAACAATCAATCAACTTACAGTGATCAACAAAATCACTAAGACAGGACGATCCAACACCAAAGGAAGCCATTCCTTTAGCACGATCACAGAAAGGATTCATCACATCATTAAAATCTCCGCAAATCATACATTTCTCACTAGGAGTATCAGATTCAAGACGCTCGAGAAATTTGGGTCTATCATCCTCTGCGTTTGGAGCATAGCAAGATACAATGTTAAAATCAACCGCATCTCGCTCAAAAGAACACATAAGGAACCTTCCATCATTCGATGAAAAAACCAAGGAAACACTTTTTGAAAAATGTTTAGACACTAGAATTGCACAACCACGTCTATGACTAACAGAATCACAAGAGCCGTAAATATCACCATCCCAAAGATGTTGATATTGATTAATAAAAGAGTCACCCCAAAACGTTTCCTGTATACAAAATATTCCCACAGAAAGGGATTGAACAAGTTGAAATACTTTTGTCAGTTTATCTAGGTTTCTAGGTCCGGCAGCGTTCAAAGAGACAAAGAGCATGAATAATAATTTACGGAAAAGGTTATTTAGTAACATGCTTTAACTGTTGTGCGTTTCTTCACAATTTTGCCGATCACGTGATCAAGCGATTTTCTCTTCGGTGAGAGACTCCTTGTTCGGAAAGAAGAACTCTTTTTAGTCGCAGGCACACGAGACCATTTCAACTCAGAATTATCGGAAATGGATACATCATTTGATACAGGGATGCAGGAATCAGACTTCATTTCAGCATCTGGGGTCATTGAACAAAGTGGCTCAAGCAAGGTTATGTTATCATCACAATGCTCTGAAGATTCTTGAAAAGTAACACCATCCGCACTTACTATACTGGACCTACCAGGACTACTTGAACAACTTGCATCAATATCAAAATCATCTTTGAGGACAGGTGACGAACAAAAATTGGCTGATTATCAATCTTCAATTCTTTATCGACTATGACTCTTGCAGACTCAATGTCAATCAATGATACTTCATACACATCACCATTTTTAGGGACACAGGACAAAATAGAATCTTCTCCCAGTTCACCTCGAACAGCCAGCATCTTTTGAAAAAATGGGCCGTCCGAATTTTCGGACAATTTTCCTCTTGTCCGATATGACTAGTGTGTCGGAAGAGTCATCTTCCATATTGGCAGAAGACGGGACAAAACGCAGTCCCAAAGTCTAAATAACAGATTCAGAACACCAAATATCAAATATAAGTCTTCAACGATAATAAACACAAACGAAAAAACAACACAAAAGGTCAAATGTCTTTGGAAAACTTCAAAATTTAGTTTGATGCTCTCATTCTGAAAAACGCGTTAAAGTTTTAGCCTGTAAACACCCAATTCTTGACAGATTTTGACAAAACTTGGCCCCTAAAAAGTTCAAAAGAAGTGTAAGGTTGAATATTTTATACTGTTGTTACTGTACTGCCAAATATTTATATTAAAAATCAAAGCTGACAGTGGACGTATATTACCTTGCCTAGCAAGCTATCTTTAGTTATTATGCTCAAGTTCATATTGTCATCAAAACCCTTGTCGCCTTATCATAGATTTTTACCCGTCACCTTGGTAGAATTTAGCATCGTGTGCTATTTGGAAATGTTAGTCATGCAATCTGCTGTCCAATTTTAGAGTCTGATCATTGTCTTACTATTGTCACAAGGTCACCATAGAAAATCGTTAGTCAACAGCTATCCTAGTCATAAAAGTCAGCATTCAAGTCATTTTCTTCGTGAACTATGTATGAATAGATCAAAGACGTCAGCAATCTATTTCATATTATGGAGCACCAACCTGCCACGCCCCATACGTGCTAACTGACATTACTAGGGATCAACAACACACATCAACAGTTTGAAAAATGTCAAACTAATGGCATCATAGAGCCAATAAGGCACGCACAATTATGTAAAAAAAATGGAACACAAATAGGCAGGTAAATTTTATTATAGTGACAGTATGTTATATTCAATTACAAAGTTTTATAAACAATAATAATAGAACACCCGGCCACATCGGGCCTATAAGTCACTCTATATAAATAAGTATTTGATAATAACAGGTAGATAACTATATACAATATTGGATTTTACATGCGCCTTAACAATGGGTTAAGTTATATGTTATATTTTCATAGTTATATCGCGTTGCTATATACAGACAATTTCTCCTTATATTCATACATTTAACAATATAAGAGCTAACAGGTGTAGCAGGAATAATTACATTTCTACTATCACTGCCTTCAATAAACCAGTTAGCCAAACCGGCGTTTATCCAATAAATGTAGTTTCTCACGTGACAATAAGGCGTATGAATACATCGAAAACATCGCCGGCGCTTGGCTAAATAATTTTTTCCACTGAGTCATTCTTGCATAATGTACAAATTGGTTCATCTACTTTAAGTCCAACATATCTGCCTGTTTCTACCCAAGTGGCAAAATGTCACATCTGAATTGTGCCAAATGCGAACGTTCTGGATTATCACAAATGGGATTGGATGAAAACTTATCAACTTTATTTAGTCCTATATTGAAACAACAAATAGAACAAGAAGAAATACAAAAGACATTAGTAGCAACCACCTGTTGGTGTTTCACATCCTCCCATAGAAATAAAAGATCATCATTTTATCATAAGGTCACATAACGATATAATACGTCATTTTTTCAATCCCTAGCCCAGTTCTACCAAAGAGTATTCATTTGGTGTGGCCACCCTGGTTCTGCTTGTTCTAGGCCTGCCTGTAACGTTGCGTCAAACAGTCAAACGGGAATAACAAAAGGTTCTTAAGATGTGGGCATGGGTGGCTCCCATCCGTACCATTTGAAACAGAAAAAGAAAATTCTTCCTTTTCAATGAATGATTGTGAAAGTATTTTAATCGATAAATTGGCAGTGGAAAGGAATAACTGAGTAAACTCTATATCCATTTTAATATAAATTCCGACTTACTTCAGTGCCTGATGAAAATCCCGGCGTAGTCTGATTATTTTTGTATTTGAATAATGGATATTACAGTTATACTAGGTAAGATCGGTCTTCTGTTATATTTGTAAGATTTCATGAGACAATAAAGTTCAACTTTAGACTGTGACGATAATATTGTAATATGATTACATGCCTGTCCACTTTATGCATGGGATTTAAATATTTGGTTGAAAACATTTAACTCCACCTGGGTGCATTCTCTGTGTCTTTAATCCTTCGACAGTCGTGTTTATGATGTTGGCTGCAATAAAAATTGGCAATGTTATCAGGTATGATGAAACGATAAAATAAATATATCATTTTCAATAATTTTTTTAATTTATCTGTGAGTAAAGATTATCGGCGACTGCATTTTCGACTTTCTGTTTGGAAATATTTGTCAGTACGGTAACAATCATTAGTATGCAATATTCAACCTTTTGAGGGCGATATTGAACAATATAACAAAATTTTGTTATATTTGTCTTTTAGTGATTATGTGCTGAAAATTGCAAGTGTTTTCAAGAACGAGGTCCATAAGTTTTACGATTTTTAATAAGGTTTATCCATGGGTGATAATAAACAATTTAACCAAGTTTAGTCAAAATCCGTCGAGAATAACGAGATTGTTAACAAGCAAAATATTGAACGCGTTTTCAAGAACAAGCGCAATAACTCCTAAAATGCTTTCGATTTTTGTGATTGCCAGGATTCATTCTTGGATGATTACAAGCAGTCACGCTAAGTGTCGTCAAAGTTTGTCAAAAACTGTGCCCTTCTAGAGTGTTTACCAGCAATTGTGGACGAACGGACAAGATTGACGCCAATATATATGCTTCACATTTCATATGGGGATATAAAAAGTAAGTGCCTGGGCACTTTCGAAAAGAAACATTCCGTAAACAATGCAGTGCATTCGAGGCACTGCAATGAAATGAAATATGGTGAGTTTGAAGACCTTTTCTGCTACATATTTTGAGTAATGACAACTTCATGCAGCGTTCATTTCGAATGTTCGCGGGAATATTGAGTTTATATATTGTTCAGTATTTTTGATTTTGCCATTGTGGATAACAAAACAAAAATAACTGTTTAAGAGAGTTTAAGGGTAATTGTACACATTTATATGGGCCTATGAAAAAGTATTCTTCAGTATGATTCAAATCATTATAATTCTAAACATTTTCTTTGCAGTGCGTTCGAAGAATACACTGCTTTGTTTTCGAAATGAGTTTTTTTTTTTGTTTACTTCTGGTCACGCTCCCCAGCCAAAACTGCATATACCACAGGTTATCTGACAACATTATCCCTTAGATCTTGCGTGTCGCCATTGTTTAAATGTAAAATGACGCATTTTCTTTTAACTGGAAATGACTTATGATGTAAACCATTCATTGCGTATTTCGAATTACAGGTCTAATTCTGAATCTATTTTGACCGTAATTTTTGTTTTGTTTGTTACTTTAAACTAATGACTAAAAGATAGCATTTTAAAAAATTTCAGATTTTGACTTTTGTCGTGACTTGTTTATGTAAACTGCAATCGATTGCTCAAAAAAACTGTGGGAGCCGATTTTTGAATTTCGCTTTTGCATTTTTTTTATTTCTGGTTTTATGTTTTGAATAATTGTCAGAACTATGGAGGCTCATGTATAGTGACTTTGACTTTTGGTGACCTTGTGACCTGAACAAAAGTTGTTGCCCCTTACGAGATATATCCAATTATATCTTCACTTTTGTTGTACATCGTTAACTTCCGGTTCTACAACCATTTTTACCTTTGAAGAGCTGTGTCACGTGACCAAATTAACATACGACAAAATTTCTAATATATTCATGAGTGCATGATCTCTCCGTTTTAATGATATATCTTACTTGATATTTTGATCAAAATTGCGCTTTTTAAAAATTGAAAATTATTCTATAGTAACAGTGAGTAAATTCACGGTGTCTATAATCCACCGACACTAACCGTTGCCTTAAAAAGCGTATAACTTCGAATATCTCATGATCTAATGATTGTAAACATTTGAAATTTTGAACATTATTTAACAATGTACACCTCATCACAGACAAAATAAAATTTTTGAAGTGGGCGCGGCACTTCCGGTGTAAGTGTACCTTTTCCTGAAATATTTACAATTGTCATAACTAGCAATGGTTGCAATTGTTACCCTATAAATCTTGCATGAAAATAGATCACTACCCAGGACAATTTGTGATAAGATTACAGTTATTTGCGTTCTTTACTTTGAAAAGGGGAATAGGTTTAACAAGGACCTTGACATTTGCATGGTCAAAGGTCATTGATCTAGGATGACTATTCTTACATTGATCTTTGATGCCCGATATATACTTCCGGTTTTGCAGACGTCCGAAAAAGCAATTTTCGAAACTTCAAAGGCTCATATTACTTTTATTTGACCTTTGTTGACCTGAACAAAAGTTGTTGCCCTTTACGAGATATCTCCGATAATATCTTGAATGTTGTTGTGCATCGTTACTTAAGGTTCTACATCCAATTGAAAATCGTGATTTTTAACTTTGAAGAGCTCTGTCACGTGACCTAATTTACATACGTGAAAATTTCTCGTATACCCTTATTACACGTAATCTATTTTTTCAAATAATATATAACACTTGGTATTTTGAATAAAAATTGCGCTTTTTAGAATTTTAAAATTTTGTATTGACTTCTATAGTAACTGTGCGTAATTTAACAGTGTCTATAATCCACCGACAGTCACCGTTGCCTAGAAAAAACATATAACTGTGTATATCATGATCTAATGATTGTAAACACTTGAAATTTAACATTATTTAACATTCTACATATCATAACAGACATACCGAAATTTTTGAAGTGGGCGTGGCACATCCGGGTCTCATTCACCTTTACCTTAAATATTTGAAATTGTTATAACTCGCAAAGTTTGCAATTGTCACCCTCGAAATTTTGTATAAAAATAACTAATTACAGATAATGTTACATTTGTTTGGACTTTTTACTATAAAAAAAGGGATTAGGTTTTACAATTTATTAAATTTTGATATTTTGACCATTGACATGCATGACCTTGAT